CCTTATCCACCTGGCCATGCCGGGCACAATTCGTAATGACCAAACTTAAACTAACGGTGTATATAATTAAACATTTATTTTAATACAAATAAACACACATTTATACACATGTAAAATGGAAAGTATTAATTCTATAACCTGTCACACCTATTTTCCTTCCAACTTTTCGAGTAAATAAAATTGCTATTAGAGATTTAATCAAGGTTGTTGTTCATTAAAATGTTTGATGTAAAAAGAAGTGTAGCTGAGCAAAATTCCGGGTTTCGGGAAAAAGAGCTTCAGTAAAAAAAAAAGTATTTAACCTGGTAGCATTTGATATCAGTTATCAACTCGTTAGGATTATAACCGTTGGATAAGTGCTTTTGAATGTGGGCCAGGCATGGGCTTGGAGTTAACGTACTTCGACTGTGAATCCAATGGTTCCTAGTTCACATTCCCTTGCCGAAAAACCGCGCCCAGCACCTTGTGGCCTTGGTTGTGCTGTAAAACTAATGACCAATCCCACTATGCGGTCAGATAAGAGTAGTCAAACATTTGGTGGTGGGCGCTGTTGACTAGCTGCATTCACTCCAGTTCAAAATTAGAAACGGCTAGCAGAGACGCCCATTGTGTAGTTTTGCACAAAACTTCTAACCAAACAACTTCCGAATATTCATATAAAATGACATCTTTTTTTTAGCAAAGTTTCTGATGTTCCAAAGTGAGAAGGATATTCTATAACTATTTCTATGTTTTTTTTCCTCTTTAAATGGCTTGAAATTTATCCTGATAAAAAAAACTACACGCATACGTATTCTCAAGAGTAATTAATACAAAACAAGTCTGTTCTATCTGGTTAGTTGTCTGAGGCGTTTCTAAAACGTTAAAAGACTGAGTAAGTAGGTACACTTACAAACGAGCCGGTGGTGATAATCTGTATTCATCAGGATTTTGTAGAATTCACCTCAAGTCTACTTTATTAGAAATAAACTACTGAGTAGAAATCGCAGTCGTTGAAAATATTTTAAATAACTGAGAAAATGGTTAATTATTCACAAAACTACTTGGTGGATAAAAGATCAAACTTGGAGAATATTTTAAATAAATGAGAAAATGGTTAATTATTCACAAAACTACTTGGTGGATAAAGATCAAACTTGGAGAATATTTTAAATAACTGAGAAAATGGTTTATTATTCACAAAACTACTTGGTGGATAAAGATCAAACTTGGAGAATATTTTAAATAACTGAGAAAATGGTTAATTATTCACAAAACTACTTGGTGGATAAAGATCAAACTTGGAAAATATTTAAATAACTGAAAAAATGGTTAATTATTCACAAGACTACTTGGTGGATAAAGATCAAACTTGGAGAATATTTTAAATAACTGAGAAAATGGTTAATTATTCACAAAACTACTTGGTGGATAAAGATCAAACTTGGAGAATATTCTAAATAACTGAGAAAATGGTTAATTATTCACAAAACTACTTGGTGGATAAAGATCAAACTTGGAGAATATTTTAAAGTGTAAATCTTTACAACTCTGTCCATTGTCAACAAGGAAACAAGGGATTGGGCGCTGTGTAGTGGTTCCAGCTACAAAAACATCTATATATTATACAATAATATTCAACATATGGATGAGATAGTAGTTGTTGTTTTTTTAATCTGCATTAGAGTCTCATTGCTAAAATCAAATATATTTAGTATTAACTAAAACTGCAATTTATCGACAAATGGAAATATATTAAGAACTCGATAAATCTGCTAAGCAAAGGTCAGATCATCAACTTGTAACACGACTCATCTCAGAAAGTCAGAAAGCGTTTCTAAGAAGTATAAAAACAATATATATCTATATATATATATATA